CAGGATGATGTGACCAGAAAACTAACAGTGCCTTAATGAAGACATGAATCCAAATGCTCCTGGCTCCTGATTTATTGAGGCAGGTGCCTAAAAAACAGACCTGCAACTCCAGAGGGGAAAAAGCAAAGGAAAAAGAAATCATGGCATTTGCTTTCTAAGTAAATATTTCATTGTCATTAATTAATACAGACCTTGTACTAGTGAGGTGAACTATGACCGAACATGACTTGAGGAGCTTTGAACCTTACACACCAACATCTGCAGCTATTGTTCTGGAAAACATCCCTGGCTTTTCCCAAGAATGGATTTCTGTCAGTCCCCAAGATGTGAGCATGAATATTAAGCACTCCTCCCCACTGAGCCATGACAGCACAGCATCATCATTAGTGTAAATGATCCAATTTACAGCCAGGAGCACGCAGGGAGCTGACTCAAACAGCTGCAAGTGTACAAGGTTTTATGCCAACCACGACTTTTCACCCAGCAAAATCTCTCTGTGAGTGTAAGCTCAGGTGAGCAGCAGCAGCAGCAGAGCAGGGATGACTTTGGGCCCCACACTCGCTGCATTTTGGCTGTTCCAAAGGCACAGTCCTGGAGGAACAAGCACACACTTTGATTCCTTGGTGCACCCTCTCTGTTTGAGCATCATTTGGGACCTCATGTGTGGTTTCTCACTTCTCTGAACACTGGGGCAAGCTGTGCCAGTGCCTCAGCACCCTCACAGGGAGGAATTTCTTCCTAAAATCCAACCTAACCCTGCCCTCTGTCAGTGTGAAGCCATTCCCCTTGTCCTGTCACTCCAGGCCCTTGGAAACAGTCTCTGTCCCTTCTTCTTGGAGCCCCTTCAGGCACTGGAAGGCCACAATTAGGTCACCCCAAAGCTTCTCTTCTCCAGCCTGAACAATCTCAACTCCTCAGCCTTTGCAGTGACAAACAGCACAGAAACCTCATCCCATTGCAAAAATGGGACCGTAGGTGTGTGGGTGAAGCATTCAGCCCTATCTAATGCATTTTGCACATCCACCACAGAGCAAATCTAACACGACCTGGTAGAGGAGATATTAGCTTTGGAGTAAACAGCACTGGGAATAAAACACCTTTGCCAGCTTCACTTCCATGCCAAGAATAGCATGGAAAACATGGGGGAAAATTGAACATTGACTTCCATATCCAACTGCCTCACTGAAGGCCATTGAAGCATAAAGAATGAGGAGAAAAGGAACATTTCTGAAGCTTTTAACTGTCTCTGACCTGTGTGTTCTCCCCGTGTTCAGCTCCTGCTAAAGCCAGTGGACACTGAATCCTCTGGGTGTCACCAGCAGGCAGACACAGCATGGGGGAGATCCAAGTTAAGTCAGCCACTGATGTGCTTCAGAATGTAAGCCCACTGTGCAAACCTCCATGGAAAATCCCAAGGTTACTCTCCTTCCCTGTGAAATGTCTCCAAGGCAATGGTTCAAAACAAGCCCTGCTGGAAAAGCTGTTTCTTGGAGTGTCTCGAGTGGAGACAAAAGGAAAAGGAGTACAAAAACCAATCCCAAGGCTTCTCTGATATATCTTGGGAGAAGAAAACCTTTCCTACCTTGGCACACTCCACTTTGGCACACTCTGCATGCTGGCAGGTGACTTGGCCTTCATCACACATGCAGAAGTCACAGTGGGTGCTGTTCCACATCTCCCCGTGGTACCTGATGGTGCCACCATGCAAGCAGCTCCCTCTGGATGACACACACTGCTCACAGCACTGCCCAGGACGCTGCACTTGCTTCTCCCCCTAGAAACATCAGCAGGCAGTGAGCAGGGCTGTCTGTGCCCCTTGGGCACACTGATGCATGCACCAGGGTATCAGAGGTGGATGGTTTTCCCTACCTTCTCACAGGTAACAGAGCCACAGCTCTCCCTCCGACACTTGACTTCCCCTCTGTGACATGCACAAACAGTGCAGGCAGTTTTCTTCCACTGTTCCCCATGCTGTTGGAAAAGAACATGGATACCATTGTTAAACTCTTGGAAAACAACCAAATTCCCTCCAGAAACCTGTGCTGCCTGTGGAATATGATGCCTCATTCTGCATAACAAACTACTCCTATAAAATGCTTCTCTCTACATGATCAGCAAACAGGATGAAGAAGGATTAGGTCCAGATGACACTGCAGTGTGTATTTCTCATTCAGTGCAAGCTGGTGGCACTGGGGAGGACTAAACTGCTAGTATTGGCAAAAAACAATCATTTATAGAAAGCCACACACACTTACATCCACCAAATAATGCATTAAGTTAATTCCAGATGATATAAAGAAAGCAACAAATTCTGTGACCACCAGTGCTTTCTGCTTCCCTCCTCCAAAGGAGTGTGAAAATAAAGGGCCTCATGTGCTTCACCAGCACATTCCTATCGAGTCCTGATTTCTTTCAACTCCTTTGGCTTCCCAGGAAGGAAAACTAAGCTATCAGAAAGTCAGATGTCAGGGAGAAGGGACAGAGGGATGTGCCAGAAGCAGTGAACAACTCCCTCTTGGTGTGGTTTGCCAGGAGGCACCTGGTACACTGTTCCTGACACCGAGCAGGGCTGGGGGACACACTCTGGGCAGCATCTTCCAGGAGGCAGAGCCAGAACTTCATCCTAAACAGAGAGCAGAGACAAGGGAAATAAGAGCAGGAACACGGGGGTCAGCATCAGTGCTTGGAATTAAAGGCATTTAGTATCCATGGGATAACCCACAAGGCTTCATTCTGGCCTGAAGAGCAGCATGAGAGCAGTGTAGAAAGGAGGTTTCTTCCTGATGTTCCCACACTCTGAGGTTTTGACATGTGACTTACACTCACCACCTCTCAGGCATCTGTAGTGTTCTAGTTAAATCTGCCCAGACTGCCTGGACAGGTGCATTAGGCTTAAATTCATGCATTCTACTGAATCTAATTATGCTTAAAACTGCATTTCCCTAATTGAAGCTTTTTTTATTACTGATCTAAACCACGCTGGAATTGGTTGGCACTTCCCAGCACTGTAACAGCTCCTGTGTGCCTCAATTCCATCCATCCAAAAAGTGGCTGTGATTCCACTGCCTCAGGTCCATGCACATCCAGTGACTTGGAGTAACATTGTTCACCAGCATGTTCCTCCAGACACATCAGGATGAGTGGAAAACTGACTGGAGGACTGGAATTGGTGAAGAGATGCCAAGCACTAACATCATTCTATGATCTTGTTAGCCAAATCCTTGGCTGCCACAGCAAAAGTGGAAGATTCCATGCAGGTTTTATCAAGGAGAGATTTCCCAGAAGAGTGAAAAGACCTCTGTGGTGGCTTTTGGTGGGAGATGTGGACACAGACACTCAGGTGCACTCTGCTTGCCACAGGGATGTTTGGAGCTCCTCTCCCTCAGCATCAGTTATCTGACAGATGGAAGATGAGAGTTTAATCCTGGGAGAATTTATGTCCTGGATTTCAACAGAGAGTGGAGAATGAAGGAAGAGAGAGAGACAAAGACACATGAAGGAGGTGTTGGGTGTGACTGAGATCCTGTTAATGTCCCTTCCACTGGGAAACATCCTTGGTAGGAAATACCTGGAACAACATCAGAACTGCCTTTCTGCTGCATTAACTTGGATGCTCTCAGCCAATTGCTCCCAAATCCATCACAGCACCAGCACAGTCATCCCTGCTTCCACAAACTAACTCCTAATGATTAGCTGATTGAACATCAGTGCAATCTCTCAGCAGGTAACACCAGTCCACTTGGAGTGGGAAAGGAGGAATCCAAAGCAGGAATAAATGTGTTTTAATGCAGAGTACCTAGTGAAGGAACACTAATTGAGTAGCTCAGGACACAGCAAAACACAATTAGGATGCACAGGAGCTCATGGGCTTTCCTCCCAGCCAAAAAACACTGCTAATTGCCCAAACAGCTGGTCCAGTCACAGGAAAATAAGGAATGATAATGAAAATAAGTAAGAGGGAAATGAGTTTATGAGTACTGCTGTTGATTTCTCAGCACTCCAGGGAGGAGTGCTCAGCCATGGAGCTTCTGGATTCATCACTGGAGCATGGTAATAGGCTAAAAACACCTGGGAAACAGAACAGAAGGGTGAGAAGGAAGGATTTCCAGGGAGCCACTTCTGGGCACATAGTGAAGGAGTACACCAAAGGGCTCAAAAGGACTGTGCTCTTTGGATTTCTTTTCCTTAGGTCCATTGTACCTGTTTTGGGAGTCATGGCATTGCACACACAGAGCCAAATGTGTATTTTGTGTGTCCCAAAAGTGCCTTTCAGCACTTCCAATGCAGTAATTGAGTGACTTGCCCAGGTCCTGGAGCACTGTGTGTGTTTGCTGCCCTTACTAACCCTGTACTAACACTGCACGGGATCCTGGGTGTCTGGCTCATCCATGCTCATCACTTGACCACAGCAAAGACCTTCAAGACAGGAATGTCCCAGTTCTCCCAACTGGACTAAAACTCACTTCTCTTCCTGGTTTGGTTGATTCCTAAACACAAGGACAGGGAAGGAACAGTGCTCTGAGCCTTTTCCTTCAGCTGAAATTGCCTTGTATTTCCAACGTTTTGAAGGGGAATTTTATCCACATTTGACTACTCAGGACTGTATTTCTAGACTTCTTGTAAAAACAATTAAAGCAGACTGGAAACCAACACTGACATCTGTGAAGGTAAACGTCATCAAAAACTTTGTGTTTACACTCCTTTGCTCAACAGAAATAAAAGCAGTTCCTGATCAACCTTAGATAACTTTTTTAGCAGGAAACAAAGAGCAGTTTCTTCAGACAGTATTTGTGCTTAACTATGGTGCTAATTTGTGCTCATTGCTGCATCCCAGCAAAGGGATGATAAATCAAAATGGTGGGGAAAGAGGATACTAGGGAACAGACAGACACCAGGTGTACACTGAGAGGCTTCACCATGATCCCATGGGATCGCCACAGATCAAGTAACCCTTTTCCAGGCTGTCCCTTGCCACCCAGAATCTGGACACCTGCATGGGAACTGGACCTTGCCAAGGGGAGGAGGGTGATGAGGGGTGATCCCAGCAGAGTGGTGTGTCCTGACCTGGCTGCAGAGCAGAGGTTGGCAGGAGGCTGTGGAGCACTGAGCAGTGCCATCCCTGCAGACACATCTGGAGCAGCGACCGAGGCGCCAGCCCTCCCCGTCCTGGAACACGTGGCCATCGAAGGAGCAAGGCTCTGGGAGACAGGAAAAAGGGGGAATTTGCTTTTCCAATGCCCTTTAATCCCCTTCCATCACCCATAATGAAACCACCAGAATTCTAGTTTGCCAAAGCAGGTAAAGAGAGTCACAATTCCACCAGCTTCAAGGGCTCTGAGACTTGTGAATGAAGAGCTCTGGATGCACTTCTCCCACTCCACTTCTAGAAGAAAAGGGATCACATAGCTCCAGCATTTTTGGAGCTTGCAGTCTGAGCCTTGCACTGCTCAGTGCACAGGAAATACCTACACCTTTTTCCCAGGTTTTATCCTGCAAAATTAGGACCTATGAGGCACATCTCACTGCTACAAGGAGAACCATTACAATGTAAGGCAGCAGGACAGAGAGGGAACCAAGAGACACACTTGACACTGGTGTGTTCCCAACAGAACTGGACAATAATGGGAATGCAATCCAGGTTTGGGACTAAGAGGAGGCTCCCAGTGACCAACTGCTTGGATCGATGGAGCCAGAGAGTGCCCCATCCACACCCAGTACTCACCACCACGGCCCACACACTGGGGACAGCAGGAGCCCTCAACAGTGTACTGCAGCTCTCCTTGTCCACAGGGCAGGGCTGGGCAGCTCCTGGGGGTGCAGCTCACCTTCCCATGGGCACAGGAGCACTGGACACATCCCGAGCTGTCCCACTGCGTGCCGTGCTGCAGGGAGGGCACAACACAACCACAGGCATGGAGAACACAGTCACACTGCAAATACATCTCCTCCCTTTTCAAGGCACCCCACATCAGTATTAACTGAACCCTATGCAGGCTCAGTTAGTCTTTGTGTTGCATTCCTGAAGTTCTTCCTTCAGGAAATCTGTGCCAACCACCAGAGTGAGGCTTTGCACTGACAGACTTGTTTAATGACCATCTGATAGTGGACTTGGGATGTGACATATGACTGTAGGCACAAATATGCCTGTAATCCTTGTGGGGATGTCTGCCCAAAGAAAAGGCTCACAGAGAGCCAAGAGCTGCAGCAAGAGAACACCACAGGGAACTGCAGCAGCAGCACAAGGAAATATAACGTAATAGGAATCAATATCATACCACCCAAATCAGAGACACAAGGAATATGAGAGGATGGATGTGCTAACTCTCCCATTCCAGTCTGTGCCTGACAGATCCATGCTGAAACAGAGAGTTACAACATCCATCTCAGGTGCACCGTGTATGGTCCAGAAATCCAAACGTGTCTGGGTATTTTGGCATATTTCTTGATATTTGGACCTGACTTGCCTCTTGTCAATGAGACCAGACACAGGACTTGGGTTTGCTGTTAAGCCATTTTTCTCCATTTGCCTACTGTTTGACATGATTCATTAACTACCACCATGAATCTTTATGTTTTCCTTATCTGCAAGCACTTCTTGGTACTGTTTTGGCCTCTCAGCCCCCCCAGGTGAAACCACATCCTGGCACCTGCCTCTTCAATAATTCAGGACTACACACACCGAGCGCAGAGAGAAAAGCCTTCTTGCAGGACAGCTGATGTGTCAAGCTCACCGTGCTTTGCTCCTCTCCTAATGATCATGTGTTGTCTCACACACCCACAGAAACAGCAAAGGCAAGGAAGGAATGGTAAACTTTCTGCCCTTAAGCCATGCGGGACACAATTGCTCAGCCACACATTTCCCTTTCTGCAATCTCTCCTGCTAAATTACATCACCTGACAGTGACAGAATAGAAACCCAACAATCTATCCTTGCCCTGCTCAGCATTCTGCACCGGCTGAACCAAACAGAGAGCTGGAAACTGGCAAGGCTTGTCCCTGCTGAGGAACAGGACAGAGCACTCACACTGTGGATCTGTCCTTCATGCTGGCAGAATCCTTCGGCTCGGGAGGCACACTCAGGGCAGCACTTGTTGGAGGCTATTTGGAGCACTTCTCCCTAGAAAGACACAAGAATCCAGTGAGCAGCTGACATAAATAGGGACTTTGTCCTGCAGGTAAAGCCTCGAGGCCTCACTGGACCTGGTGGAAAGGAAACATTTCAAGTGAAAGGAGACACATCCCTTTGCTCTGTGTGACATTTTACCCTCAAAACAACAGGAGAATTTACGTCCCTGACAGTACAATTAGGGAGTAGTTTTCAAAGGACAGAAAGCACTCAGTGAAGACTTATTTGTGCTCTAGGATGGTGGGACCAGATGGTCCACTCTGGTTCCTCCCAACCTGATGCTGTGAAGACAAACGCCAAGATGATGCACTGAAAGACCTCTGAGGAACACGGGACAGAGGCAGTTTCCTTCAGGTACAGGATGGATATCAGTGCAGCATCTCACCACCCCAGAAGTGCAGCTGCCAGGCAGAATGAACATGTAACCATGAACTGCACTTCTTTGGCTTAATCACCACTAATTTCTGTTTTCAGTAACACTCCTTTAAAATTAACTGAGATCTCCTGACCATTCCAACCCCGGCACAAGGCAGGTGAGGCTGCTACCACTTCCCTCTGCTTGGCCCAGACTGTGATCTTGCCCTGGAGAATCTGTTGGTGGTGATTGGTTTGTTTTGGTTCACACCACAGAACTGTTTGCTGCTTTTCCACCCACTGAACACATCCAGCCCACACAGCAGTAGGTTTTACACACAGATGTTCAGAGCACCACTGAGACTGCCTGGGCTTGTTTATGCCTTGTTGCTGTAACAAGATCAGCAATATTAGCATAAATCTCACAACAGGCAGATAAGGAATAAACCTCGGAGAGAGATGATCACCACATCTTATCTCGCTCACTCATCATTAGGTGTGCCATGACAGCACCCTTTGTTTTATGTTTCTCCTCTTTAGCACAAAAATTCCTATATTTCATCATGCTCTAATCAGTGCACAATGATTATAACAGGGAAAACCAATAAGAATCAAAATTATCTCCTCATTAATGCTGTCATATTGGAAAACATTTTAACCTGCTCCATAAAGCCATTTAATTATATTGGCAGTGCCTCTTTTAAACACTCCTTTTCCCTGTCATTTACGCATTTTGCCCCAGTAATCCAGATGTTAATGCAAGACCAATCCCATGGCCAATTAGCTGCAACCATTAATGAAGGCTCAGACAGAGCAAGACAAACAGGAGACAACTACAGCTCAGCAACCATCACGAGGAAGAAGAAAGTGGAAGACAGACAATCCCAGCTCTGTTGTTGCTCAGCAGAGTGGAAAGTGACCAGTCTGAGGGAGCCCCAACTCCACCCTCAAGTGAAGGGGGCTCCAGCTGGGCTCATGCTGGGAGGTTCCAGCCCAGTCCAGGGGCTGCCCCAACCCCAGGCCCCTGGCTGGAGGGTGGGGAAGGAGACAAAGGCTACACATACTAAGTGTTCCTTGCACCAAGGAGGAGTGAAAGGGCACAGAGCCTGGGCCTGGGCCTGGGCAGACACACATAGTCCCTTACCTTCTGGAAGTCACACTGGGGGGGTTTGCAGACAGCAGGCTCACAGGTGACAATACTACTCTGGCACCAGCACTCTTGGCAGGAATCTGGCTTCCAAGTTGTGTTATTCTGCAAGTAAACATGAGTTTGAAATGAGACCCACAGACCACAAGGTGTGTGCTGCTTTATGCACCAGTGAACGGCTCAAATAGCTCAGTCCAGCCAGACTGGAACAGAGCACCTCTCCCTCCCACAGCTTATCAGGCCCAGCTTCAGCACCACTCACTCAGCAGCTCCAAACATGCAGCTGAAAGACAAGGCCATGCATGGCAAATCGTCAGCCTCAGTGGCACGAAAACCCACAGGACACAACCTCCACTAATCTCAAGGTGATTACAGCATCTCTGGAATACTCTATAATCAAGTTCAGACTGTCCACACTGCAGCTCCTGCTATGACTTCAGCTTGGGCTGAGGCAGCAGAGCCAGCCTTGAGCCTAACCCACCCCTGGACACGTGGCCAGGTATGGACAGGCTCTACCTGGGCACAGTTACCCCAAAGCATCGTGAAGAAGACTCTGGCCAAGCACAGCCCAAGAGATCTGGAAATAGCTGTCACCACCACTACATCAGTGCACCCAACTGGAACACCCACAAGGGTTTCCACCACCCCTGCTTGACCCCTGTCCATTCCCTCCACACTGAGGTCATGATCCCACGCTGCCTCCAAGAGAAAACGGAAAGAAGAAGATCAGTGTCTCATCTGAAAAGCTCTTTGCCATCAGACAACCCCTGTGTGCTCAGCTCACACCACACAGGAGGTTTCCCTGCACAGTCCAGACAGCTGAGCCTCATTCAGAAGGGATTTACCAGCAGACCAGGCACTGCTCCTCATTTACATGGTGCAGTGATTTACTCCAAAGGGTCAATTTCCTCCCAGTGTAAAGCAGGACTCGGCGAATGCAGACAGGGAAAGATGATGAACAGTTTGCCACTAGGAGCACATTTAGAGCTAACTGCTAAAGCTGCTAAGCATAATGATAAAATACTGAAATGTGCCTTAATGGCCCATTAGGCTGTTTAATGAGAGGAAAAAGATCCTGAAAAACCTGGGCACTCACTCAGGCACTTCCACAGAAGCTGCTGGGTACTGGATCAGGAGTGTAAATCTGCCAACTGTGGCATACCCACAAATATTACTTCCCAAAAGCATTTCTTCCACATTCTTCCCTCTTAATGCAATGATGGAGGCAACACCAACCTTAGAAACAGCGAGAGATGCAGACAATGTACAGCCCCCTGGGACAAGGCACCACCACGACAAAGAGGGATGGTAATTCCTGCTCTGGAATGCAGCACAATCCACCCTTACTCACGTTTTGAGACTTAAATGTTCATGTTTCTGATTAAAAAAAACCCTCTCTATGGTCTTCTCCTTCCCCTATGTACTGTTATAGCCTCCCTGGCTCCTACCTGTGGGCTCAAATCAGCTGCTTCTAAATGCATGCTTGGAAGCATCTGCACACATCAGTGACTTCCATTTGTCAGGTGTCAGACCACAGCTGACACTTTCCTGTCTGCCAGAGGTTTTAAGAAGTCAAGATCTGGTTAACAGAAAATGGTAAGACCAGAAGGAGGCAAGAACACAACCAGCAGGAAAAGTAAAGAATAATCTAAAGAGACCAAGACCAGACCTGGCACACAGAGCAGTTGTGAGCACTCAGGGTTTGCTGCTGCCACACTGTCACTTTAACCACAGCACAGACAGAGCCAAATCTCTTGGAGCACAGCTCTTCTGACTGGCCATGAGAACTTCAGACAGCTGCACCTGTTCCTCCTCTACCTCAGCCACAAAAACCCACCCAACACATCAAAAATAATCACACTCTGCTACTAATACCCAAAAAGCCTCAGTAACTTAATCAGATGCTGCTTAACATGGGGTATTGTCACACCAGACAGCAATCTGTGTGCTATTCTGGTGCAGTGAGTGTGGAAATAAGAAGCACACAACAGCTGGTTTGGGTCCCTTTCCAGCTCTTATGGCTTAGTCAGTCCCCAGAGTGTCTCCAGACCTGGACAGCTGGTCACCTGCTTGGTGGCACTGCTGCAATGAGGGTGAGACCAGCATAGCCTCCATGTCAGGCAGGAGTCAAGCTTCAAATTTGTACCCTCAGAGGAGTCTCAGAGAACTCCAGGCTGCTTTGCTGAACTGTTAGGCAGAGCCCAGAGCAACTACACCTTTGGTAACTACCAGCCTCACCCAGAGCTGCCAAGCAAGGAGCCTTGGCAGCACCTGCAGACCCTTCATTCATCATTTCCACTCCAATTACCTGACAATAGCAGCAACTGGCAGGACAAACCCCAAGCAGAGGGAAGCACTGCTGGTCTGTGGGGAGACCCATTAATGGAGCCATGGAGAGATGAAAGTCTCTCAGAGCCATACAAAGGGTTCCTAATGTCTGGTCAGGTTTAGGCTTTATGCCCTACCTTTGGCAGCAGGGAGCTGTTGCCACCTCCTAGGATGTTTTCACATCTGATATTTGCTCACATGTAACAGGAACTCCTTGACAATGGGCTTTTAATGGGCTTACTCCAGCATGCCCACAAGGAGAACAACACGGAGCAGCTCAGCTCAGAAATCTAATGGAAATTCAGCTCAGTGGAAACAGCTTTAGCCTGGCACTCCTAGGAGAGAACAGAGCAGTTAAGGCAGAGCACACAGCCTGATTAACAACACAGAAACACACTGCTTCAGGAAGCAGGCACTAGTTTTCCCCTTCTTCCAACCAGGGAATTAAGAAGTTACATAAATTAAAACAAGCTACTGTTCTCACAGTTCACTAGTTTCCTAACTGTTTCCCCAGTTGTAGAAGCCTTGTAAAAATCCAGAGGCTAAAAATAACATTTCCCAGGAGTCCTAAGTTATTTCAGGGTTGGGAAGCCTATGACATTCCAAGATACCCTTCAAATACTTAGGTGCTGTTGTAAAGCTTATCCTACCTTTCACACAGACACAAAAGCAGCAGTTTACACTGAGCAAATAGGGCAGAGGAATTAAAACACTGCTTTAAAATCATTGGTCCTAAGCAGGACTTAAATCAGCAGACAGAAAACTTTGTATAGACCAACAGGATTATTTTTTGGGAGCAGGAGTGTCCTTTAGAAAGGTTAATGCCTTTGGGTTGGTCACTGTTGAGTTAGAGTCACCCAAAACCTTGCTTCCCTCACTGAGGTTTTCTCCTTTGTGAATTTCTCTGATCTACCCTTGAACTCAAGGCAACTTTAAGCATCAACATCTTACTGCAAGGTTCTAGTGCTTAATCACACACACAGCAAAAAATAAAGGCACCTCCTTCATGCAGAATTAAAGCTGCACTGTGCTGCTATAGGAATGGGACAAACCCAGGGGTCAGGCACACCAGCAACTCTCCTTAGCATCCATTAAAAACCACTTGGGGTCCTCCTGCTGGGGATTTCCCCCTTTTACCCCAATAGTTCCTAACCTGCCAACTGGCAAATTTCAAACATCCTCCCCAAAAATGACTTCTGAATGGATCTCAAGCCCTGAGTCTATCTCAAGCCCAGAGTGCTTGACTGAACAGCTGTTGAGAAGAAGGGAGATAAGGGATTCATTCAACCTAAACCTGATCACAGCTCTAATTGCAGTGTTTATTACAACATAATGGCTATCTCCGGAGCAGGAGGAGTTCCAATCTCCACTCTGTGATGTTCCAGAGTATATGCAAAACACTCAGGTGTACCCGTCCATGAGCACCAAGGAGGTCATGTTCTACCCCCTTAAAATGATGCTGTTTGTCTGAGAATTGAACCAGGGAGACCCACCAGGCAACCACTGTCAACTGCTCAGAGCCACAGCCTGGAAAGCAAAAAAAAGATTGAAAATTGGCTATTAAACTGACTTAATCCAGGGCAGATATTTCAGGGGATTCCCCAAAGAGCACAGCCTGGCTATATTTTCTAGGAAAGTGGACTTTTGAGGGGAGGAATACCCTCTGTATCCCAACACAGACGTGTCAAATGATGAAGGAATACTGTCAGCAGGATGTCAAATTGGTTCTGCTGTGCTGGGTCTGGTGTTGGGCCATGCTCACTGCAGCTAAGCCAGGGCAGAGGGAACAAGACAGGCTAAGCCTTTTATCCCATTTCTAACAAAAAAACACAGCAGGCCATGAAAAATCTTTGCAGCTCAGCCAGCTGAGTCAGCAGAGAGAGGAAACATCCTTTGCAAGAGGCTCTCAGAAGCACTGCACAGGGCGAAACTTCACCCTAATTCCACTGCTTGAAGGAAACAACCCACTCCAGAGCAATTTTCCAAGACACTTCAGCAAATGTATAGGTAGCTCCATTTCCAGGCAGGATATTTAGAAGTATCCTTTCAAAGCAAGGAATTACAAGCCTCAAATCCTACTATTGTCACTGTGGATCCAAGCACAGTAATCTCTCACACAGCTCCTAGAACATATAGCCCTTTATGTCCTTATCTTCCATCTCAGCTCTGGAGGCAGCAGATTAATAAACTGGTTCTCTCTTCCTTTAAAAGGGAAAGGTCCAGGCAGGATATTTAGAAGTATCCTTTCAAAGCAAGGAATTACAAGCCTCAAATCCTACTATTGTCACTGTGGATCCAAGCACAGTAATCTCTCACACAGCTCCTAGAACATATAGCCCTTTATGTCCTTATCTTCCATCTCAGCTCTGGAGGCAGCAGATTAATAAACTGGTTCTCTCTTCCTTTAAAAGGGAAAGGGGAGCCCTGCACATAATCCTGCTTTGAACAAACACTTCATTCCTGGACAAAAACTAGTAGGAAAAGGCCTGTGGAATAAGGAATGTTGCACAATCTTCATATCCTCTAGTATTTGCTTCCTCTGGTTCAGTGGCAGCTGTTGAGGTCCAACAAGGTGGAGATTTTACGACCAAACCAAGTCCAAATCAATGGCAGCAAAAGGTTCCATTTGATTCAAATGACTCAATTAATTGACTTGGGCTCTAAAAATTGTCATTTTGTACAGTGACAACAAAGCCATACCAAACAAGCTGAGGAAAATCACAGCCTCTTGCTCTACAAAAAAGGGAATTCCATGGGTCCAAGCTTATCCTGCTCAA